TGTTCCTTCATAATCTGCGTTCATCGTCCGAAAATGTATATATTGCAAATTGACTAGTTCCATTCTGTCCTTGGAACTCATTTCCGCGCATTCATTCTTTTATTCACCTCCAGTTTTACATTTCCCAAGTGTCCTTTACATGACAATCGCTTATATTTATGTGCTCTCCATAACAGATCATCCTCAGCACTCCATTACATAACCTTGTCCGTTTTGTGTCTCCTTCATCCCAGAGCATCTTCACGAAATCTCCTGATCCATGAAAAAAACAATTTTTATGTCCATAATCTCTTTGTACTTTCCCTTTTGGATTTCCACCGCATTCTTTGTACCATTGTTGTAAATTTGATCGTGCGCACTCGCATGCTTCACGGGCTTCGTGAAATATACCATTATTATTATTAATTATTTTTAGCTAATTATGTTTCCCTCTACTTATTTTGGTTTTTGGCTGCCTTAGTGATCTTCGCGTTATATTCAGTATCTGTAATAAGCGAAATATTTTTGGAGCGAAAATGGTCCCCAGTTGGGATTTTTTTCCTTGGCTTGGAGAATGGGGATCGATCAAATGACCTTGAAAGTTTTGAATCAAGCCACGTTTGGATGCTGCGCGCTTACCGAACGTATATCAGGACCTGCAGGCTCTTATACGGTGGTCCGAAAAGTGGGATCTTCGGCTCAACGTAGCTAAGTGTCAGCTTCTAACAGCAGAAGCTAAACTTGGCATGCAGAATGAAACCCAGCTTAAGAGAGAGAGATTAAGGACCTGGAAGTAATTATACCGTACGACTTCAAGCCCTCTCAACAATGTCAGAGGGCAGCCAACATAGCCCTCAAGAGGGCATTAGAGGACTGTTGGGATTCTACTTTTCTTGATGGTAAGTACCTGGTAGTCCTGAGCGCCATTGCCTAGGACGTGATACTGCACTTCACATTTTGCCTTTCAGAAAAAAACTATTGACTCACAATGTTGGAAGCCACAAGAACAGCCAACAAAACATAAATCTGGACTCAAGATTGGCCTGAGCCACACATCGTCCTGTGCTAACTGAACTGAACTGAACTGCCACGCGGTTGAGTGCGCGATAGTCTCCATATGGACGCCAGTCGTTGGACAACTTTTTGGGGACAATGTGTACAGGGGACGCCCATGGACTTTCCGTGGGGCGCATGATACCCATGTTCAGCCTATGCTGAAACTGTGCGTGCGGTGCGTAACTTATCTGGAGCTAGTCAACGGGCACCTGCGTGGACCGGTGGACCTCGAGTGACGATGTGGTGCGTCACCTCCGTCGTGATAGGTGGCAGCTCGGTACTGGGGCGGACTAGGTTAGGGAACTAGCGTAATAACGATGCCTATGGCGAATCCTCGTGTGGAAAAGGAAGGTGTATATTCTGAGTTTCGGAATATACCAGGGAACCGACAACTACTCTAGAAGTGACTGGGTCTCTTATCTGTCGCTTGTGGGGATCTACGATTAGGCGATGGTGCTATAGAAATTCTAGACCAAGTATAATGTAAGGAACCCGAGCGACCACGAAAACCCAAGGTAAGGCGCGTCTCAAACCTAGGTCCATGTTCAGTAGCCCCTGTCCATAGGTTTGGATAAGGATACTGTTGGCTGCCTGCAAAGTCATTGATGTTGGGTTGGTAGCATTCTGTTTAGTGAACGGGATTATACTGAATTACGCTCCGGTATCCTATAAACCTAAGCTTGGGAGAGTTATCGTAGATAAAAAAGAAGGCGACAA